CCTCCTTGGGTTTCTGAGGTGGTATCACTATGGAAGTAGATTGCCCAACCTTCCTTCCAAGGAGTGGCTGGTGGGTTTGAACTGCCAGCCTTTTGGTTAGCAGTCAAGTGCCTTAGCCACTTTGCTAAGATATGATTATCTGAAATATAAATTTCACTGAGCATCTTCTATTTTTTTTATTGACTAAATCTGGAAACCCTATAAGATACAAAATTAAAAACAAACACACAAACACAAAAAAGAAATGTAGTGCAAAGTAGCTCTCAGTGTTCCCTAGTTACTCACATCCCAACTGCTAGTGTTTTGGGAAAACTTACAGATAGTCTATGCTTTTGCAAGCAGGCCACGTTAATTTTCATGTACATGTGCAGTTTCCCTGCTCTTTTCTACCCATAATAGCATATTTTATATATTGTCCCACACCTTGCTTTATTTTCATTTAATACTATATTTCCACCATGTGATTTTTGTCTAACAATATGGAAAATGCAAGGTAGTATAGTTGAGTGAGTATGGGCTTTGTAATCAGGTAGAGTTTGGTTCAAAGCCAAGTTCTCCCACTTCTTAGTTGTGTGATCTTGGGTAAGACCTCAACCTCTCCTTTCCTTTATTATCTTATCTGGAAAATCGAGAGAATAATGTGTCAGGCACTGAGGATACCATGGAAAAGATGGTGAGGCTCCGTGCTCCTGTGAAGCAATGTGTGTAAGCAGTATTTGCCTATCATTATGATTCCTAATAGTAAATCCTAGACACATTGAGCCGTTGTTGATAATGTTTTGTCATTCTGAGTTCCATAGTTCCATGCTTACTGAAACAGACTGTAGGTTCATTTATAATAAACCAAACCAAAAAAAAAAAAAAAAAAGCCAACTCAGTGCCGTCGAGTCAGATCTGACTCCTAGCGACCTCTCCTTGGGTTTCCCAGGCAGTATCACTACGGAAGTAGATTGCCTGACTTTCCTTTTGAGGAGTGCCTGGTACGTTTGAACTGCTAGCCTTCCGGTTAGCAGGCAGATGCCTTAGATACTACACCACCAGAGCTCCCTTATAATAAACAGGCAGAATGTATGAACAGTAACTCGAGGGAAACTAGTATTTTCTATGCTATTTGAATATTCTGATTCTCACTGTATTGAGGAATTCGATACCTTGAAGTATATCTCAGCATCTCTCCATCTGTAAAATTCTGTGGTTACAAATGGATTTGTTTGCAATTAGAACTGAATCCTTGCGATAGGGGTGTAGGACAAGGACTTTTCTTTCTTTCTTTTTTTTTTTTTAACATCTTGTCTCTTTGTTATAGTTACTAATGATAAAATCGTCTGGACAACTTTAAGAAAGCTGTGTATTTTTTTATTTTAGTGTCATCAGAGGGGAGAATACAAACTGTAAAACTTCGTTTTTTAATCACTAAAGTCTAGAGGAGTAGATACCTCATTTGAAGTTAATGTCAGAGATGTGTAGCTCCGGGGGAAAAGGAAAAATAATCCTGTTTCCACAAAACTGACTTGTAGGTGAACTTTTGGACAACAGCAATTTTCTCAGTTGAGCACTGCCTGCTCTACTTCATCTGCAGATTCCTCACAAATCAGTGTGCTTCTAAGTCCATAGTTTGCCCATGTCCAAGTTGTGAATACTGTTTATCTTTCTGAGTTAATTTTTCATAGAGGAAAGGGGATAGAGCTAAATTTTACTGTGCTTGCCAACCTCACTTATTTTATTATTTCAAATCCTTATAAATATGCATTTGTGAATTGTTGTTGTAGTTGTTAGTTGCCTTTGAGTCAGTTCCAACTCATGGCAACCCCACGTGAGCAGATTAGAACTGCTTCATAGAGTCTTCAAGGAGAATGTAAATGACTTAACAAGGAGCACATAGTAAATGGTCTAGCTTAATTTTGTTATTATTATCATTATTATTATTGTGATTTGGGTAAAAGTTGCCAGTGCAAATTGGTGTTCCATTCAACAATTCATACACATTTTGTTTGTGACATTCATTACAATCCACACAATGTAACAGCACTCTTCCCACTTTCTCCCTGTGTTTATCATTTCTTTTCGTCCTTCTTTCCTATTCCTTCTTGCTTTCTTAGCTTTATCCCTGGGCAAATACTGCCTTTTTGATCGCATGTGGTTGATTGTTCTGAAATGAGTGCATACCTTCCTGCTATTATTGTTCACTTTGCGGGCCTATTGTTTGGCTGAAAGCTGAGCCACAGGAGTTCAGTTCAGTTCCTGACTTGAAGGGTGTCTAAGGGCCATAGTCTTGAAGGTTCCACAAGTCTTCATCAGACCAAGAAGCCTGGTCATTTTATAATTTTAGGTTTTCTTCCACATTTTCCCTGACTCTATCCAGGATCTCTTATTTTAATACCTTTCAGTCAAACTTAAATTTAATTCAGGTCTTCAGACTCACTAGTTCATGCTCTTTCATTATTATTTTGATTCTTCTTGGGCTATTTAATTAAATATACCTTTCTAGACCTGTGTTCTTTATGTTGGAGTATCTTTACTTTTCTTTTTTAATTGTTAAAAGGTAATAATTTTGTGGCAGGTACCTAGAATCATGATATTTTATAAAAACTCAAAAACTCACTGCTGTCAAGTCAGATCTGATCCCTCCTTGGGTTTCTGAGGTGGTATCTCTACGAAAGTAGATTGCTCATTCTTCTTTCTGAGGAGTGGCTAGTGGGTTTGAACTGCCAGCTTTCTGGTTGGCAGTCAAATGCCTTAGGCTCTATGCCATATATTCTACTTATAAATAAGAATATCACCAATATACTTTTAAGATCTTCCCGTCATGTGCTACCCATGAAATCATGTAATGCCTGGCACTGGAATTCCTATCTTTCTGGGTTTAGCATTAATCCTAAATATATATTATAATCCCAAATATGTATTATTATTACAGATTATTCTGTGAGCTGAAAATGGGCATAATTTAACTCATTTAGAAGACGATACTCAATGAGTAGGTTTGTTTTATAGAAAACTGTGTTTGAGAAAGTAGATCACTTACTCAAGGCCACACTGCTCTGTAGGTTTAAATTCTATATCAGAGTCAGTGCTTTCTTTTCTTCATGCCGAGGCACTTTCTATAACAAGTGCCAGTGGTTGAGCCACTTGGCTATTTGAGATGGAGCTAATGTTTTATTTGTTGTTGTTGTTATGTGCCGTGGAGTCAGACCCGACTCATAGCGACCCTTCCTTGGGTTTCCAAGGCGGTATCACTACGGCAGTGGATTGTCCAACCTTCCTTCCGAGGAGTGGCTGGTGGGTTTGAATTGCCAGCCTTCTGGTTAGCAGTCAAGTGCCTTAGGCACTATGCTACCAGAGCTCCCAATGTTTTATTTAGCATATTCTAATTTGGGGTAAGAAAAGTCAGGTAGTACTGTTCTCTATTATTATGCAGAGCTAATGACAAACATTGAAATTCTATGCATCTGTTCATCTACCTATATACTTCCCTTTTCCCAAATATATTTTCTCTTAAAGAAGTAACTTGTTCCTTCTCAGAGAAATCCCCTGCCTAGCTCATCAGGTGAAGAATGAGGATGCATGGCGGTAGATTCTTTTTCTCCCTGTTGAAGGAATGGCTGACACTTCCTGACAACTCAGGGTTTTCTGTAAGGCACAGGATAAGTGCAAATATGGAGAAAGGTGTGGACAACAGAATGTTGGACAGTGTTGTCCAGCAATAGTGTTGGACCACAGAGGTTGAAGATAGACTTAGTGGTATGGATATCACCAGTCCATATTTTTATTTACTAACATTTTACCTGGGAGCTCTGGTAGCATAGTGGTTGAGGCACTTGACTGCTAACCAGAAGGCTGGCAGTTCAAACCTACCAGCCACTCCTCGGAAGAAAGATGGGGTAATCTACTTCCATAGTGATACTGCCTCGGAAACCCAAGGAGGGGTTGCTATCAGTCAAGTCCGACTCAGCAGCAGCAGCAGCAACAACAACATTTTACCTGGATAATACATTTCTGTATTTGGGCAATTTCATCTGAGTTGTTATAAAACACATCATTTATAACCAAAGGTTAAAAGTATATGAGGTATACTTCCTACTATGGATTTTGATACTGCAAAGAGTCCAGTTATGTAATGTAGAGAAAGATGAGACCTGTGTGGTTTTCATTTGAGAAGGATTTTTGAATGGGAAAGAGTAGAATATTGTAATCAACGTGGTATTTTGAAAAATCCTCTTCCCTTTGACACTGTACTCCCTTTACTGAGTTTTTCTTGTGATTTAATGTATCTCCCAGTGGTTTGTACACTGTGTCAGTGTCACTGTTCTTTTCTATTTATTAAGTGTGTGTCTCCCCAGTTGAGACTGCAAGCATTTGAGAGCAGGATCCCATTGTCTGCTTTTATATTTTTAATCTTTTCCCCCATAGAATTTCTTATCCTGAAGTAAGCTCCTTCCTCTGTGGTTAAGGATATGAAATTGAATCCAAGATAATAGTGGCCTATGTTGAGAAGCTCTTAAGGAAATACTTTGGAAACTTCTACCATCTTATTGAAAATGGATTATATGCTTTTTATTTTGTTATGAAAGTATTACTTACAAATATAAGATGATTTTGAAAAAGCTCTAAAATGATTAACTTTTTCCCCCTATAAAAAGAACATCTTAAGTGAAATCAACAAGATTTTAATGGCCAAAGGTTTATAGTCATATCAAGTGCTTTTTAGAGTATTTAGTTTTAGAATACAGTTTTAAAGTTCTTATAAAATATGACCATTTTGTCTTATTTCTTTTCTCCTCAGTGGTCCATTTTAGTGTATAGTTTTAATCATCATAAAGAAGATCACTGAATTTTAAAAGAAATGTTGGAAACCATAGGTAAGAGCTATTCCTTCTCATTTATTTTTGTAAAAATGGAAACCGCTTCCATAGGGATTTTTGAAATATGCTATTTTCTACCTTGCAAGATTCTGTCTACTGTAACATTGTTTTAAATAAATTTTTATTTACCAACATTTTACCTGGATAATACATTTCTATATTTGGGCAATTTCTTCTGAGTTGTTATAAAACGCATCATTTATAACCAAAAGTTAAAAGTGTATGAGGTATACTTCCAGCTATGGATTTTGATAAAGTTGAATGTAAACCTAATTCTGGTTAATGTTTGTTTCTGGATAGCACTAGAAAATTTGTTTTAAAAGTTCTGGAAGATCGTTGTTTAGGTCTTACTTTTACTTTATTTATGACAGTTGAAGTGCTTCTGAGCTCTTGATTTTAATGAATAAAGAGAGCAGTTATAATTTCTTAGTCTGAATCCAGGTGAACAAACTTCAGTGAAGACTGAAGAGAGTTTAATTTTTTAGATAATTTAGGTTGAATTATCCAAATATTCCAAGCTCATGTGTTAATCTTGTTTTCCACACTGCTCTCTAAGAGAAACATATTTATAGGTATATGTCAAGTATATACACACCTGCAATCATGTGACAATCCAGTCCTTCACCTGTTCTAGATAACTCTTTGGGTGTAACTATTGGAAGATATCTGTATTTCACTCTGTACCTTGATGGTCATGGTTGGTACTGAGACAGCTGAAGTGGTAAGGGTTAGGGTGAGAGTAGGTGGCAGCAAAGGAAGAAGAAGCTGGTTTTGTGATCATAGGATTCATTACTCTGACTTTGTTCCTATACTACATTGGTAATAAAAATGCATGGACACACATTTCCTTCATATTACCTGTTTTACACTGAAGTCAAATAGCATAAAGAATACTAGTCCTCATAGGAAGATCATTTAAAGTAGAAAACAGAAGGCAACTACAAAACTATTTAAACCATTACTTTCTGGTCTTTATTCTGTTACTGAATTGGATTCCTCCCAAAAAGCGATATAAGGATTAATATTAGATTTGCTTTCTGAGATACTGTGGGAGATATGACCCATAAAATTCTTATGTATATCTTTATTATTGTTGGCTTTTAAAATTTTATGTATTAGTAAATATTATTTCTTTTAATTTATGTGTATAGGAACCCATCATCACTGTCAAGACATATCTTTCTCCATTTCTGTGTAGTTCCAGATTTTGTGTTATCAAAAGTATCTTTAATGATAATTCCCATTCTTTTTCATTTCTATTATATGACAAATATATTTTAGTAGATATACTTGTGATTATGAATCTGTTAGGACAAAAAACTGAATAGAGCCATTCCCCTTTACGTAATGACAAATTTGGTCTCATTTATAAATGTGTATATGTGCATGTTTTAGTGAGATGTTTTAACTATTGTTTTTAGTGGAAACTGACTGGGTGAAAGCATGCCTACAAGATGCTAGGATTATTAGGGACACATATATTCAAAACATTTGCTTGTGCAACTCTGTGTCTGATACATAACATGATTAATAAATATCTGACTTGTATTAGTTTGATGCCTATGTTAATAAGCCATTTAGTTTGGGGGAAAACGTTTAAAGTTTTACAAAGTAGTGTTTTTGAAACAATACGCATTTTTGTGCTATTTTTCCAAGCAAATGCCCAATTACAGAATGTTTTGCCCCTTAATGTATGATATTATCAGCTTTTGGATGTTGTAATTTATCAGTGGTATTATCCATGCTAATTCATTGTTGAGTTACTTATATTTCTAATTTTTCTTATAACTGAATACAATTTCTTATAAGGGGAAAATGTAAGTATTTGCAAGATCACAGAACTTTTGGCTTCATATAGTTTTTATTAAAAAGTTGAAATAGTTGGCTTTGGAATTCAAATGTAATTCATCTGAATTAGTTTCTGTACTTTGTAAACAACTACTTGTATATGGCATACATTTTAACAAGTTCCTTGCTTTCAAACAAACTTTCCTATAAGGGACTTCACAGTGTATATTAACATGTGGCCAAATCAGTTGTCACTGAGGAGATTCTGACTCAGGCAACCCATGTGTGCAGAGTAGAACAGTTTTCAAGGCTGTGACCTTTTAGAAGCTGGTCTCTAGTCTCTCCTTCAGAAAGGCACTGAGTGGGTCCTAACCATTAGACTTTCAGTTAGTAGTTGAGAGCTTAACCATTTGTACTACCCAGGGTGAAAGTACCCCCTGTTTTTCCTCAAGTTAATTTTGTGTTCTCAGTAGAGTATGAAAAGGAGCTCTGGTGGCGCAGTGATTAAGGCATTTCACTACCAACCAGAAGGTTGTCAATTCAAACCAATCAGCTGCTCTGTTGAAGGAAGATAGGGTAATCTACTTCTGTAAAGATTTACTGCCTTGGAAACTCATAGGGGTTGCTATGAGTTTAAATTACTGGATGGCAGTGGGTTTTGTTTTTTTTAGTAGGGTAGGAATGGTTTTTGGATTTGTATGTAACCATGGCATCTTTATAGGTTTGATGTATGTCATTTGAATCCAGTTATTGACTTATGCTGTTCTTTGGTACAGACAAAAACCGAGCCCTACAGGCAGCAGAGCGCTTGCAGGCCAAGCTGCGAGAACGCGGAGATGTGGCAAATGAGGACAAGCTGAACCTTCTGAAGTCTGTCCTTCAGAGCCCACTCTTTAGCCAGATTCTGAACCTTCAGACTTCTGCGCAACATCTGAAAGACCAGGTAGGGTTTCATTTACCCAAGCAGTAGTTCGTACTGCAGCATAGATAAATCTTTTGAAAGGCTTGTGTGTTTCTGAAAGGCTGATCTTTATATGTGTTAATGAATAGTTAATGAAGTCTTTCAAACCCTGAAACGAGACATTCAGATTCACTGTGGCTTTTCTCCCCCTAGTTATTTTTGTAATGGTTGTTTCTGTATATCGTGGATGATATGACATAGTGTTGAAAGCTGTGTGGATGCTTAAGAATGAGTTCTTACAGGAGAAGGGGATGATAAAAATATGTTTAGGGTAGATGGCCTTAGACTTGGTTTCCATCATCAGTAAGCCTCATTGTTCATGTGATGTGGCTCATTCAGATTCAGACATTCAGTACACTTACACGATTTCAGATAAGCCTGGATTTGCATATGTAATCATGTGTATGAGGAAGGGAAATCACCTCTATTTTGACAGTAGGAGGAATAATTACATTGTCATCAGTTAGAGGAATTGCAAATTCTCACTTCTTAAAAGAGTGTAAGTAGCAATTGCTTCTCTGACAGCATCAGATGGTGATAAACACTGGAACTTCTAAATGTAACATAGTGTTCTTTTTTTTTCCTGCAGAAATTATGAACATAAAAAGTCCTAGCATTGGTATTAACATTGAAACATATCACAATGACAGAATGAAAACTGAAGTCAAATGTTCTTTGAACTTACCTAATTTAATCACCGTTTCTCAAGTTTTTTAAATAAATATTTTTAAAAATAGTTGTTATCCTCACATGGTTTGAAGTCAGTCTAATTATGCCTCCAGTCCCAGTCAGTTCTCATTTTAACGTTTAGCATTAATTTAATGGTTATGGATGACTCACTGGCAAATATTCTGCCTTAAAAGGTTAAACATGAAACTTGAAACTAGTTTCATAATTCAGTGAAAGAACAACTCCAATTAAAAAACCCCAAAATGTGCCAAATACAAAAGAACAAATAGTGTTAATGGTAATGGAGAAAGTATTTGTTTAATGTCATGTAGCTTTTTAATCTAGATTGGTAGAAGGGAAGGAAATCAGGAAGAATTTTTAAAATTATTGTTCCATAGTGAATTTCTACTTATACATTTTAAACATCATGATCAGGAATTGGGGGATGGGAGATGCTTTTGTTATATGTGGTTGAGTTTGTCCCTTTGTGAGTTACTGAAAAGAGTTTTAGAGACTAATTTTCAGAATGGATTGACAAGGTTTTGGAGAAACCAGTATCCTGAATATAAGCATAATTATGTTGTGGAAAACTATTTAGTTTTTTTAATGTGACACAATTGAACGTTATCTTCCTCCTTTAAGTGAAAATACAATTAGAATCAGGGGAAATGTTGAAAAGGAAAGTATGTTAGGAAATACCACTGACCTAGAAAAATAACTGTTGAAACATCCCTTCTGGCCAGCTTTAATATAAGAGGAATAGCATTTAACATGCTTGCTGATTTTTTATTTTTTTTCCCGTTTTTGTGGAGTCACTTCCAGCTCTGGAATACCCCATATGTCAGAGTAGAACTTTGCTTGCTGAACAAAACAGTATCATTTGCCTTGAAGTCAACTCCAATTCATGTGACCTCATGTGTCTCATTGTAGAATTTTGCTCCATAGGCTTTTTTAATGACAGTGGTCTTCTGGAAGTAGATCACCAGGCTTCTCTTCCAAGGCAGCTATGGGTAGATTTGAACCACCAATCTTTTGGTCAGTAGCCAAGAATTTAACCATTTGCTCCACCAAGAAATTCGGTGCTTCCTGGAAAGAACCTGCTTACTGTGGAGCTTGTTTTTCCATTTCTAAATGGAAGCAGGTTCACAAAAATTGAAATAGACTCCAAGACTACTTGAGTCTCACATGATTCAGTTGAAACCTACTTGGAAAGCTATTTAGCATAATACTACTGGGCCTTATTTTGTGAGTTCTACAGGCATGTCCTACATGCTTTGGACTTTTGGCTTGTTACTCATCTTTTTATGTGAATAGGAATACTAACATTGAAAGGACCAAGGGAAACATCGAGTCCAAATCCTGCTTACTAGAAGAGCAGCTTAGAGAGGTTGGCTTATTTATAGGGGGAAAGTCAGAACTAGAATTCAGTATGCTTGGCTTCGAAGGCCTAGTCCTTTCTCTTTTTTAATTCTGCAACTTGTCCTACATCTTCTTTCTCTTTGAGGGTAGAAACTTGGTCCCTAGATGTAAGGGTTTCATTTTGGTTAAAACCATTGTTAACTTCTCATAGTTTCTGTGACTCTTTACTTCAGTCTCCATTCTTTACTAATTTTCTTCTGTTAGTTTATTAAAAGTTTTCTTTCTTCTGTGAATGAATAGCGTAAAACAAAAAAAAAAAGCATGTTTTTTCCTACTTTAAATTTTAAGTATAAATACTCTGGAGTTTATCATATTAGATTTAAATTTTCTAGGTATATACCAATTGTTAATTTGTTTATATTTATAATTTCATAATTAAGGTATGTAAGGAGTGGATTTTTTCACAAATTATATCACTGGCTTCACAAATATGATTAATGGCTAGCTTTTAGTTATTACTTCACACCTAAACTAGGTTTCAAATGTATAATTTCATAGTCATGACAGGCTCTAGTTGCTATCTTCATTTTGTTTAGTGTTACTGGAAAATTAAACCCTCTTATTCTCCTCTGCTATCATTCTTCTGTCTTTCAGAGCAGTGAAGGGAGTGAATAATTGAAAAGCACAAGGTATACGCAGCATATTGGAGAACACGATCATATTGTTGCATTAATGACAGATGCTGACATGCCATGTTGAATTAAGCCTACTATTTTCCCCTTCAGATGCTTCTCATTGCTTCTATCCAATAATGTTTAATTTTTCCAATTTACTTCCTTGGCATTACAACTGCCCTTAGAAATCAAAGTGTTTCCCTTTGGCAAATTAAACACTTGACAGGTGTGTAACTGAGAGGGCAAAAAAGCCATGCCCTGAAGGGATGTGCTATTTAAATATTGTCAAAAATATTAACAGGTCTGAGAGTATAATTGATGCTTCTGTTTAACTCTGCCACATTGTGTATTGTTCTAACCGCCAGCTAAATGGATATGTGCTATTAAACCTGAATAATGCCTAATAGCCCAAGTTCATTTTCTATTGCATGGTTTCTGTTTAAGTGAAGAGGGGAAAAAAAAAAAAAGAACCATGACTGTGTGACAATGATCTGTCAAATGCAAATTCCCATGTCCTTGCTGTCACCTAGTCATCACAGCTAATAACTACAGGGCTTAATGAGTATTCATGACAAAATTCTAGCTATTGTGGAGGAAATAAACATGTTAGCAGTTTAATAATAGAAACTTGTCAGCCATGAGGATATTGGATTTGCATATTTATCCCATGAAGTTTCTCTGGTCCAGTATAGGTGGATGCTAATTTCCTGATTAATTGATTGCATTGTCTTATAAATTGACCACAGGCACTAAATTAAATGTCCTTTCACCTTGAGTTATTTGTAGGAAAACTGTGAATTAAAGTTACTAGTTTCAATAGAAGTTGGGAACTAATACTTAAAAACTGACATGGCTAAGTTTGTTTTCAAAGCTGTGGCAACAGAGACCAATGTGAAGATTGAAGAAATGAAATGGATAATTCAGTTTATAAAAGCTGTTTATATGGGAAACAGCCCTCAGATACAGAATATTCAGGAGAACTCTTTTGGTCAGGATTGCCAGCCTTTTTAGATGTGACATTCCATTATTATGTTTTTGTTGTTGTAGATTTGTTATTTTCAACTTTCTAGTTCACCTTTCCAGAAAAGTATGATGACACAATGTGGCTTACACACTTCTATAGATTCATAATGTATGTTGTTGTGTGCCATCGAGTCGGACCCGACTCATAGCGACCCCTCCTTGGGTTTCCGAGGCAGTATCACTACGGAAGTAGCTAATGTATGTGCATGGAGAATTAAGCCAGATTTTTCAAGTTTTTTCTTTTGAAATTTAGTATCATCTTGAAGTAATTGGTGAGATGCTGGGCTAACATAGACTTGAGGTTGGAAATTATTATTCAATGATGATTGGAATAATTAGACTCATCTTTTCAATTTTAATTATTGAAACGTGTTTTTTTGTGGCATAAACTTTGGTTTTATGTTTTTATGCTTTAAGTTTAACCTGTTTACATCCAAAAATAATTTGAAAAAACACTTAGGATGGCAAAACATATCACATCATGGATTATTCAAAGGTAAATTGAGACAAAAACCAATGTAAAATATCAGAGAACCATATATACCAAGAACATTGGGTTACTAAAGTTGAGTATATCATTCAGCTTCAGTTTCTCTGGAGAATAGCTGCCCCTGCCCTGGAAACAAAAAGAATTGGAGGGTCCTATATTGCTTCGTCTGAGAAGCGCATTTAGTAAACCAAACTTTTCCTTGGCAATGGGAATGTTATCTCGTCAATACTTTAATAGAAAACTCATCATTCATTTATTAATAAACATTTCTGAAATCAGAAAAATACGGTGAATAATAACATGGAGGGTCTTAGTATTTAGTGCGGCTGTAACAGAAATACTGCAAATGGGTAGCTTTAACAAACAGAAATTTATTTTTACAGTTAGCAGGCTGGAAGTCCACATTCTAGGGGCAGGCTCTAGGGGGAAGGCTTTCTCTCTCCGTGGGCTTGGAAGCAAGGTCATTGTCTCTTTGGAGCTTCTGCCCCTCGGCGATCTGCATGTAGCTTGACATCAATCTTCCCCCATCTCTGCTTGATAGTTTGCACATTTACTCTCTTTTAGATCTCAACAGAAGTTGACTTAAGACACACTCTACACTAATATTATCTCAATGACATAACAAAGGAAGTCCATTTCTAAATGAGATTATCACCACAGGTATAGGGGTTAGGATTTATAACACATATTTTGTTGGGACACAATTCAACTATGATAGAACGTCTCAGTATCTAGAGGGGAAATAGAATCATAAATAGAATATATGA